CACGTTCGCCCGCAGACGCACACAAGATGCACGTGCCGGTGTTAGAGGCCCCAGCTCTAAAGAACGCTCCGACTGCTCAGCCAGTTAAACTGGCTATTTCTGAGGCAGCTGGCACACAGCTAGTGAAGCATCCTGCTAAAGTGGAGGGAACAAAATTATCCCCAACTCTTTCAAAGGAGCGTGTTTCCCAGAGAGCATGAATTAAGGGGATAGGCTGAAAAATGGTGCATATAATAGCAGCAAACCACAAGCATGTAAATATGCAAGAATATCATTTGAAGGAAAATTTTAAGCCTCATTAGTAAATGCTTTTTGCATTACTCACTATATTTACAGAAGACAATACAGGACAGCTAACAAGGCAGAGTATATCCTGGGGTACTGGTACACTGTGCTGTGAGGAGCTGTCAGACCAGTATCAGACCAGTTACGTGTGCTCTCCCCAGTTGCAGCGGTCTCTACCAGGTAGTATGTCCTGGATTGATGGCTTGGGCAGGATCCAACAGGCACTGAAGTCCTGAGGAACCTCGTCATTGACTCTGGTCAGTCCTTGCTCCCCGGTGCTCAGGGAGAAAGCAGCTGCTTGTGCAGCTTCCTCAGCCTTAACACCACACTGGGGCAAACCTCCAGGATACAGGGCAAGAAAACAGGGGCTGAAGGTGAGGAGGCTTCCCTGAAACTCTTCTTTCTCCATCCAGGGATGGGGGAAAAAGTGTAGTTCTACTGTAGGGGATACCTTGTCATAAAATTTTTTTCACTCTCCCTTTGGCCAAGAGTAGCATTAAGGAAAGTTGATTTTTTCCCCCACCATCCATGAGGTGTTTGTTATTACACACAGTAGGATCTCAGTCTCCAAAAATACGTTTGGATCTTAAGAAGAATAACATAGCAACTTTAAAGTTTGGACATCTATTTTAAAAGAAAAATATAAGTGGGTTTAACTGTAGTTCTTATGTGAATTTTATATGTTTCATACATTTTTTCATATGGTTAATATCAGTCAAGCATGGCTGATATTCTAGTAAAGCAGTTTCTTGTTATTTTTATTCAAAATACACTCCTGAAGGTAAGTTAAAAGCTCCACAGTCCCAAATCCAAAATTAAATTTTAGGAAAAAGTCCTTTAAAAATGGCGTATTGTGTTAAGCCATAGATGCTAAATATTATTCTTGGCATGACAGACCACCACAAGTAACAGAACTAATTTATCTTTTACAGAAATTACTAATTAAATAAACATAATATAAATCCTTACAACCAACTTTTCCCTGCAGTAGCAAAATCTGGACTGGGCTAAAAAGACTGAGAAAAATTGTTATCATAAAACAATTTTGTTTTCAAATGCGCTTGAGTTTACTTTGGGACAGGTCAGACTCCTTTTGGAGAAAAGCAAAGAGCTGAAACCTTTGGGGAGTTTCAGTTGCAAGGAAACAATTTCGGTGTGGTGCTAGACAGGAAATGGGAGAACAGCTCCCTTATGGCAAGGGAATGCCCAAGGGACCCTGAGCAGGCCACATAAATCCTGTGCTGATCTCAGACCCTGAACTAGTGCTTTGAGACTAACTTATAGACTCTGGGAAATGAGGCTGAGCCACTGTCCTGTGCACAAAGGGAGATCCCTGTCCATAAATAGATGTTTTTGCACATGTACCCATAGAGACTTGCCCGCCATGCCAAGAGCAATCAGAAGAAAAGTCAGAATAACGCTAGGATGAAAGGGCACTAGAACAGTACTAACAATACCTCATGGTTCCCTACCTTGCATTCTTTAAGGTTGCCATTTAGCCATTTTATGTCCCTTAAACTCTCAATTGCCTGCAAACCATATTTTATCCATCCCTTATCAAACACTTTGTGGTTACGCTTCAGGCCAGATCTAAGCAAAGTTATTAATCATCTGTCAAATAAAATTGTCAGTCTGCTCCATCCTTATTCTTTTTCAATAAAGATCAATTGAAACTGTGCAAAAAAATGTCAACAGAGTCAAATCTTTTAAAAAGAAAGCTAAATGAAAGAACTTTAAGCTGTGGTCCAGCACACTTTAAAGTAACTTTAAGCTGTGGTTTTGGATTTGGACATATCTAAGCCAATGGGGGTGGTAGTTGTTATTATTTATTGCTTAAATGTGAATCTTTGTTTTCCTTCTAATATGCCTTATGGAAGAAAAAGAGACATCTGTGCTAAAGTAACCAATCTTTATGGGTGGGGAAGAAACCATCTGGGTTAAAGTAACCAGTCCGTGTTTCACTAATTCTAAATCAAGAAGCAATAGCTACATGAAAAAAAAAAATGGTGTCTTCTTTAAATTAAAGCACTGAATTCGAAAATGAGTATTCTAATCTTTTGGTACAATGGCTCTGTTCACAAATATGTCTCTAAAAAAATCATATTGTAATGCAAAGCTGATGTGTGGACAAGCTAAATCCTTATTTCTATTTTAAGCTTTGTCACACAAACATTGAATAAGTTTTGGACACATAAAAATCAACAAGAATGGCTATTGTAGTTACAGTGCTGAAACCACTCAAACTGACTTCCAATTAAAAGTCAACAAGATTTTTATGCTGAAATTTATCAAGTATTTCTGAAAAAGTTTTATTGCAGAATTTGCCTTTCAGTTGTTGTTGCCTTGTTTCAAGCATCTTCTTCCCATCTTCTGTGATCTGTGTAAGTGTGTAATTGTCTTTGTCTCATAGGGTTACCCACTTGGCCTCCAGTTAGGCAATAATTTCTAATCCCATTGTCAGTGCTCCATTTCCTTCTACCATAAGCAATGTGGCATTGACTGTCCTCTTACACATGCCAGCAAGACTGCAACCCCCTCTGCAGCTCATCCCTTCCAAGAGGATCTTTCTAGCAAGGTTCCATGGCCTGTACACAGGTTGGAGAACACTCAGGAGCAGAAAAGCTCCTGAGACACTTAACCACAATTCCCAGTCCAGACTAAGCCTCCCTGTACTGCCATCAGCCACAGAGGTCACTTCTGTTTGCCTCCATATAGTGTTTTCTTCTAGAGTGTCTCAAAGAGCTTTGAGTTACCTCAGCCTGTCTTTCAAGAGATTAAACCCCTTTCCTGTAACATTGTTAAAATACCAGTTTCTACCCTACACCTCCTACTTCTGTGACTTCATTTCTGTCTTCTGCCTCATGACCTTACAAGGTGGGTTGCAGAGCAGGGAATGATCCATTAATCTATGAAAATAAGTGCCTGCTGCCTACCATGAAGCTCCATTTGTGAAGAAAATGTTAGTTTTGGAGGAGCAGAGTAACAGCAAAGATGTGCTCTGAAGAGGTGTAAACCAAGGTGATGTGTTACCTTCTCTGTGCTGTGAAGAGGGAAGGGTTTAAGATCAGGGTAAATGAACAACATGGGTGTTTCTCCTGGCTATTTGAAAAGCTCTGTCTGAGAACCTGACTATCATTGCTCACCTCCAAACATAGTCTTTATGATAGTGACAGAGGAACAAAATTAGCTGCCAGATGATATCAAGCTGGTGATATGTTTCTGCTTTTTGACGACCTAGGAGAGAATTTGAGCTCTTCCTTCTCCTGAAATTGTAACCCACATATTTTTGTATGAGCACATGCTTTGGTGAAGCTCTGCTTGACTGCTCCAACTTCAGGCTTCCTCCGAAAAGCCAAAGCCCAAATTCATACCTGGTATTTATTGCACAAAATTCTTCAAGAGGCAAACAGCCCTTCTATCACACTTCTTGAGGCACAAAAGTACCATGGAAAATTATTTATTAAAATGGCTTGGATCCAAAATTATGCACAAAATAAATATTCATATAATCATTATTGCTTGGCTTTGACTGCTGTTCTCAGGAGGCCATAACAACCTAACTATGACTAACCTGGCACAGGCCTTTCATTGACAGAACTGTATGTTTGTTCTATTTTATACTGTCAGTGATGTATAATCAATTGCTGCTGCTTGATTTGTACTGCCTATGGCACTAGGGAAAATTAAAATTAGCATAAATTATAACATTTAACCTTTCAGTACTAGCATGAGATGATATATAGGCAAATGGCAGGGTAAAAGAATCATTTCCACAAGGTACCTTTCAAAAATGCATGCAAGTGAAATGAAAGAAGAACTTATGACAATGTTATTTAACATTATGGCATCTTAATGGACTCATTCCACTGTAATGTTTGAAAAATTAAAAATAAGATTATTAATCAGGTAAAATCCAACTGACAAAAGTGCTGTCTGGATCTCTTCTACCAAGTGGAGATTTTGCTATGAATCCACTGTCCGTGTGGTGTTGCCCTCCCTGGAGCTACATATCAGGAGGCAGCAGCTTCAAAGGACTGAAGAAATAATGTCCTTTTCTGGTGCTCTTTGTCCCAACATTTGCTTTAAATATGAGGACCAGAGTTGGCCTTAATTAAAAATAAATGTGTTTCACTGATGCTTCCTGAGGTAGGCTGAAAAGTTGGGCTAAAGCGACTGCACTTTGTTGTCTGTAAAACACCTACCTTTGAATGAACACTGTTGCAGTTTATATCTTTCATAATATAGTTCTCTTTTCTTTATAAACATAACTTTTTCCATTTACATAATGTTTTCTTACACTGATGATTATTTCTAAATCAAGAAGGGAAAGAACGATACAATCTAAGCCCCTCAGTTTTTAACAAGTGAAAATGTAATTGAAAGGTGAATATAAATAAATATTAAATGTATTCAGTTTTCCACATAGTTTTATTCCTTTCATGAATGCATACAGCAGTTAAAGTATAAACCAAGTGATATAATCCCATTTACTTCTGGAACATATAAAGGATAGCCATAAACCTAGAGAGAGACAGACAGATATATGGATGCACAGACAGGATAACATTTTCAAGGTTTCTGGTGAGAGAATCCTTGCAACAGATGTATTTTTTAATTTAGGATTTTCAGTACAAGCTTAGATCATTCATAATTATACCCTCAGACAAGGAGGGCGGTATAAATAAACTTTAATGGAAAGGAAACAGTCTGTAGAATAAGCATTTTCTTTGAATCATAACAACTCTTTGAATTTAAAAAAGAGGTTTTCCTTGAGGGATTGGGTGAAAAGCATTTAAACCACGGCAATGCTTCCCACTTTCTTCTTTGTCAGAGCAGATGGCTGCCGGTCAGAAAATGCTGAATTTGAAAAATACTAATTTGTCAGGTTGATTCTGGCCCTCAAACCTGTAACAAATGAGCAGTGTAGATATAAAAACAGCAGAGGGAGGTAGGAAAGCAGACTGGCCTCTGAGATCTGGTGCTCCTACAGAAGAGCTGAAAAATTGTACAGAAACTAAAAAAAGGAGCACTAGAAAAATAGCTCAAAAAAAGCAATCACAGGACCTTTCTGCTCCAGACTCTGGCCATATACAGGCACTGGGACTTCCTTTGAGCTGGAAGGATAACAGTGTTGAGTCTCAACAGAGGGAAAAGGGGTGCCTGGATTTAGGCCCTTTTGCTAAGGGCTCTGATAATCCAGAGACAAAAGTCGATAGTGAAATCCAGAGCAGCAGCTGTGATGTTTCCATCTGGGGACCAGAAAACATCTGAATGAATGAGAGAAATGATCTAACAATCAATAACTTTTTTCAAGGCATCACAAGAAGCCTTTGAACAATATCACAAGAAGGAAAAAAAAAGAGAGAAATGCTGTTCTAATGGAGGGGAAAATGAACCCACAAACAAGACCAAATTGACATACAGTACAGCACTGTGTTCACAGGAGTAAAAAGAAGAAGAGTCTGGGAACTGAGTTTCGGTCCAGAAGAACATTATTTAAAATGTTCTTAGCAGGCTTGACTGTGGAAAAAAAATCTGTTGATTGTGGCGAGGAAGAAGTGTTGCTTCATTTATTAGAATCAGCAGATCTTCCAAAGAGCTTCACAGTTTACTAGACCAAAATTTTGTCCTATTATGCAGACGACTGCACCTTGATCAAAGGAGAAAGGTAAGATGAAAGATCACCTGACTGTTCAGGGGGCAGGAGGAAAGGGTCAGAAAAGAAAATGTAAGCAGTAAACCTGAGCTCCTGGTTCTTTTTCCCTGTAGGCTTTATGGGACGTCAGTGCCCAGACTGTGCTGGCCAGGTTTCATACACCACTCCTCCAAATGCAGTGCGTGGGGTTGTGAGCTCAGACACCTTTTCTTGTCATCTCAGACCATTCTCATAGAGAAGGCGTAAGCTGAAAAAGCAGACAAAGGAAGAAGAAAAAAAAGCCACAAAGCCTATTTCAGACCAAAGAGGGCTCAACAGTGGAGCACCCTGCAATAGGAACAGAAATCAGCTCAGGTATTTGAGGTTGAACAGAGTTCTTTTATAACTTACAGATGGCTGAAATCATTTGTAGGATTTAAGAATTTGCTGGTCTTGGTTAGTGTCCAGAAAGTCAGGAAACAATAAGAAAAAACAGCTTTTAGATGTGCTCCTGGCTTAAATAGTTTCCAGGGATCATGTTTATCTGTTGTCCGGAGATAAACTTCAGCACAGAGTGATACAGTTGCAAAGTACCCATCTCCCTGCTAAAGTGGGATATTAAATGGGGGTGTTGCTGTGGAGTAAAAGAGACTTGTGTGTTTTTCACTCAGTGCCAGTGCCTCGCTGCTTTGTGAGAATATCAAAAAATAGCTGCCCAGCCTTCTCATAGATAAGACTTCTGGCAAGATAAATGCTAGAGAAGTTGCAGTATCACATGAAAAAAAAAAAAAAAAAAAAAAAGAAAAGAAAAACAAAACACCACCAAACCCCCCAAACAGAAACCATCCAGCAGATGTCAAAACCAAACCAAAACAAAACAGAAACCCAAACAAATAAAAAAAAAATCAATGCAAAATTACTTTGTCAATCTCAAAATTCCTCAAAAATTCTATTTCATCATTAACAATATTAAATTCTCTTGGACTTTTCTATGTGATTTCTTTTTTAAATAACTGCTGTGGTCCTGTAATGAGAAATGTATTTCATGGCTCCACTTTTAGTCATATCACTCTAATATATTCTACTTTATTTATAAAAGGAACATGTATAATGCCCAGTCCATATAATTACACCCAAAAAAACCTATAAAAGCCAAGGGAAATTTTGGGTCCTGACAGAGTTTGCAGACAGTATTAGGGGAATGGATTCTTCATTTACTTCATCTGAAGTCCAGCATACTCTGCTCTTCCTTCACTGGGAAATTGCATCTCTTCAGGACGCTGTGCATCTGCTGAAGGCTCAAGTCTTTAACATTCTGACCAGGACTTGTCATGTTCAAGTAAGAGATAATTACATTACAACAGATAATGACTTGCTCATTATTTTGCAGAAGTATGCAAAATAGGAGGCTGAACTACTGTTTGGAGAAATAAACCAGTCAGTCCCCGGTAGCCAGGTGTTGGCAGAGGAACAAGCCCCTGGTGAGCAGGAGGCCGTGGGGTGAGGGCGAGCAGGGAGGTCGACTTTGGGCAGGATAACAGGAGCTCCTGCCTAAAGCCCAGGACTGTTCTGCTTGGTAAGCATACTGAGAAACACTTCCTTGAAACACAGGAAAATAATAGGCCTCATATTTTATGTCAATGGGTAATTTCAAAGATAAGCCACAGCTTTGTGTGTATTTTTATGAGGGTAGGAAGCAGGGAATGAAATATTTCAGATCACTGGAAGATTAATATTACTGTGGGATTCAAAAGTTCTGGTGTAGAGTCTAAACACTGCTGTAATAAATTTGTTCTCTCTATGATGTGAAGTACACAGGCCCTAATTATTTCATGACATTTCTCGCACAAACACAACCCCTGAATAGTTTATCACATTAAATAACTTAAAAAGTCATGGACACATGAAACACCATCACGTGTATGAACTTTAAATGACACCTTTGTGAAGCACCGAACTCTACAACCTTCCAATGTCCCCCTGCTAGAAAGCATAACTTAATGTTATGATTTTCTATTTTTAAATGTAAGGCAATTAAGAATTCTGAATTTCATCACATGGGATTCTGTGATCTTTCCAGAACGGATCAAGTCTTGGGTGTACAAATTATGTCTTACAATAAAGATATAATTCAGATGTTTAAGGCTCCTGAGATGTTTAATCAATAATTCTCTGAGTAAATGTGTTTTTAGAGTCTATGAGCCATTACCCCTCAAAAGCTGTAAGTTTGCAGTAGGAATGTTGCTGTCTTCATGTGGAAACTCATCAATGCCTATTGACATCTCTCTGTTTAATTGCAATTTAAATCATGGTGTATTTTCATTAGATCTCAAAATGGATTACAATGCTCCATTAATTTTGTAGTTATGTATGGGAAAGATCTACTAGTGACTCTGTGGGTCATAGACAGGCCTTGGTTTGTGAAGGGAGCTCCTATTGACATCAGTGTGAGTTCTGCACAGGGACTGAAGGCATGACATGGCCCATTATTCTCAATTTTCCATAGTACAGTCTCTGAGAGAACACATCACAATAGAAATTGCTTATCTGGGATGCATCAATAAATATGTTTCAGGTTTATTTCTTCTCAAGATTGCAAAAATGCAAACATTTTTCCGTACCCACATCACCACACTTTTTTGAAATTATATTGTCTTTCCTTTTATTCCTTTCAGATATGGCATATAAACTCATTCTCATTAAAAAAGAATGTGCTGATGAAAAAACACATCTCTCATACTACCAGAAGAGGAGATCAACAAAAAATCTTAACTAACTACAACTGGAAGCTCTATCATTGATTTCAGATAGAAAGAAATCATTTCATGGAAGTTTTCTGATACTCTATTTCACAATAGTGAGAAAACTTCCTTTAAAAAAATTTTAGGTACATGTAGGCCACAGATGGACTAGCAAGTAGGGGAATGATTTGAAGGGTTTATACATTAAGGAGAGTCAGAGCAATGACGGTATAAAACTTAGTAAAGAAGAAAATAGAGAGAGCATCAAGAGAAAAAATTGTTACACTGAGATCTTCTAAAGTGTGAAAGTAAAAATAGTGGTGATTCCATACTCTGTGCTGTACATGTGGAGCACTGTAGCAATGTTAGAAGCAACTGATGTTTGGTTAGAGACCTGCAACCCTGCAGCTTTCATGTCCTGCATCAGGAATGAACTCCAGCACTTAGGGCTCATCCAGACCCTGAAGGCAGAGCCCCAGGGAGGGGTGGCAGTGATCCTGAAAAACTGGGCTGGGTGCGACTGAAAAGGGGAGAATTGTGTCCAGTGCCGTGCACTTCTTTCACCCCACTGCTGCCTGTGCAGTGGCAAACCAGACTTGTATTCAAAGCAAATGATACATCATTCTAGCAGGAAGATTTCAGGGTTACTGAAGATGTTTAGTCCACACTCAATCAGGAGCACAGGCAGGTTCAGTTCATGGCAGTTTAGCAAACAAGGGCTCGATCCAAGAAGAGGAAATGTTTCAAAAGCAGAGAGAGAGAGGAATGAGGGAAGGCATGGACTTCTTGTACCTGCTGATGCCAAGGCAGCTAAAACAGAGGCAGAAACTATCCTATGTCATTCCCAGAGCTGGATCTCCACACTGTCATCACTGTGTGCCCCAGCATCACAGCCCTTCTTTTGTTCCCTGCAGCAGTACCCAGCACAACTGCTTCTTTGCCCAGAACCAGTCCCAAGCTGGTGGAAGTCCAAAGGCCTATGGCATGCACACAGCGTCATGAAGGTACAAACAGTGATCTTGGGGTTTTTTGGGTGCACTTTGGGAAAACCAAGAGCAAGCAGGCAGCTCCAGTTAGTACTCAAGATCTGGTTTACTACCTCAGGGGACAGTGAGGCACATTTTTTACCCAAACTAGATACTGATTAAAACTAGAACAGAGTAATGCTACAAACACAGAGACAAAACCTGAGGTACTATAGAGATGCCTTTAGAAACATCCAGAAAATTCAGTAAAACTTCTAATATTTTCAGTCAGCACATTCATCAATACCAAAGATATCCTTTACCACTCCCTACTCCCTCCAGAACAGTAGCACTAAGTCCTTCTGGTAGACATTCTTCAGACAGACAATGGTGCACCTCTGATCTGAGTAGGGATCTGGGGTAGATCAACAGGGATGTGGATCCCTGAGCCACTTCAGAGACCTCATGAATGACACCACTGCCCACATCACTCAGAACACCATTTCCTCTGGTTATAGCAAATCATTACACTGACACTCATCCCCCTGACAGCCAGAGAAACCTGTCAGTAAAGACAAAGTGGTCCTGACTCCCCAAAAGCTTCAAAAAGACCCACAGCTCTTTTTCACCTCAGTTTGAAGATGGACTCATCAGGGATTGCTTGTGTAAAATGTACATAGCTTAAGAATTGCATGGGGGCAAAAAAAAATGGACCATGACAGTGCTGAGCTATTTCCTATCCTATCCAACTGGTGTTTCTCCAATTTCCCATGGATAACTCATTGCTTACATATTATGTTGAATTTTTTAGTCACTGTGGTAGGGATCAAAGAAATTACCATGGCTCAGCAAGTTTCAGTAAAGATTTTTATGAATACTCTTGATGGACTAGGTGCTCCTGTGCTGAAAGATCATGCCCACATCTTTGCTATCACAAGGGGGAGAAAAAAACATGTCAGAAATAAACAATCAAAATGAAAACCAGATAGTTTTGAAAAGTAATCATGTAAGAATTTTCCCAGTAGTTAATTCCAATGCCACCATTAACTCCAGCCAGAAAATGGAGGTTTTGAACACAGTCAAGGAGAATCCATCAGTGGTTGAAAAAGTCACTGCACCCATTTAAATCCACACCATCTTGTGCAATCCATTTTTACAAAGCATACACTGAGTGTTGTGTACAAACCATCAGAGACAAAGTGATAAGAAAGTCAGGCAGTGCAGAGAAATCTGATATTGGAATAAAGGGAGGGTTGAAGCTACCAATGAGGATAATGCTGAACCCAAATGCTTACTGTACTTCCTTATTAAGAATTGGACTTCATCACATTAGAACCACGTATTCTCCACTGGAGCTCTCCTTCTCACTGTCCTCCTCAGCCCTTTCTATCCTGTGCTGCACAGGAGGCATGGGGAAGTTTTGAAAGGTGCCTCCTCTTAGTGTCAAGAAGCTTTCTCATCACCACTCATTGTCCCTGCTCCTTCACTGTGCCTCTGCCTGGGAAACGTGCTCCCTTCCCAGCACCCTGATCGCTGGCAGAGCTGGATGGGAGGAGCGTGGT